TATACACACAAATAGAGAGCAAGAGAACGAAAATAAAGCGCACACAAAGAAAAAAAAAAGAGAAAAAGAAGAAAAAGAGAAAAAGAAGAAGAAGAAGAAGAAGAAGAAGAAGAAGAAGAAGAAGAAGAAGAAGAAGAAGAAGAAGAAGAAGAAGAAGAAGAAGAAGAAGAAGCCTAAAATTCCTTATAAAATAAATCTATGAAAGGGGGAAAAAACGGAAAGCAAATGGTTGATTGAAAAACAGGGAAAAGAAAATGACCCAAAAAAAATAAAAGGCGACTTCTGCTCTTCTCTCCAACAGACAAAGATAGTTACGTGATAATTAACAGAGTGCAAAACAGACACACCACAACTAAGCAAGGCAGGCGCCATGAAAAACACATTTTCCTAAAGGCATTCACACTTGCCAGACAGACAATGAATACGCAAAAACTGCAGACAATGAGCGCTCGAGATCATAAAAATTCAGAATGTCTGTGAGGAAATATGGAAATTATTTTAATGAATTCTGGCTCGGGTAGACTTGAAGCACTGCATCAATCAGTCATATCTCACTCTTCCATTTAGTGGGCGGAATTTCCATCTCATGTTTCTGATTATGAGATCAAGAAGAAGGTGGAGGCGAGGTGATGGCGGAGGAGTTGGAGTTAAAGAAGAAGAAAGAAGAAGAAGAAGAAGAAGAAGAAGAAGAAGAAGAAGAAGAAGAAGAAGAAGAAGAAGAAGAAGAAGAAGAAGAAGAAGAAGAAGAAGAAGAAGAAGAAGAAGAAAAAGAAGAAAAGAAGGAGGAGGAGGAGAAGGAGAAGAAGAAGAAGAAGAAGAAGAAGAAGAAGAAGAAGAAGAAGAAGAAGAAGAAGAAGAAGAAGAAGAAGAAGAAGAAGAAGAAGAAGAAGAAGAAGAAGAAGAAGAAGAAGAAGAAGAAGAAGAAGAAGAAGAAGAAGAAGAAGAAGAAGAAGAAGAAGAAGAAATATCTTGCGCTTGCAATAATAAAACTGTCTGAGCTCTCAAACAGGGAATAGATATGAAGAATCTGAACGCACTGAAAAGCGCGCCAGACGAAAACAAACGCTATATTGAATTAAACGCATTCTTGCAAAAAAGCAATAGAAAGGGAAAAAATATCTTTACACAAACAGAAAATGCGAATACAAAGAACTGTCAATAAAGTAGAGCTGGATAGAATAACGAATTTTAAGCTGAAATATCGCAGACGTTGAAAGTCTGAGCAATTTTTGCCAGATTACACAGATGACATTGCGCAAATTTTGGTGCCAGTTAGGAAGTCAAAGCTGACAGAGAACTAATAATTTGGTTACACTTTTCCCCCTAGCAGGTGGCCATAATTTTAGACAGAATAACTAGCCGCCTTATTGTTGCCAGATTGCCTTGACGTTATGGCTGGCCAGGAAACAGTGGAAATGTGCTAGTTAAATGCAAGGAATTTAAAAAAAAATTATTATGTGTACTTTTCAGATTGCATGTATTACGGTAGGGTTTTTTTCCCAGCCCTTTTTTTGGTGTCTGATTGACGCGGACTTTTCTGAAATCGTCGACGCCATCATTATTAGGTGCCATGACGATAAGCTATTAAGGCTGTGGTAAGACTTCTTAAAAAAAATTTAGTCTCGCCTTCAAAATGAACATTGGCTATAGTGTATCACTTCTGTCTTTCGAGGAAATAGAGGATAAGGACACAAACTCTTCCACGAGGCGACTCTTGTGCTATTTCTAAAAACTATGAGGAGGGTTGAAAATAATCAAACCCTAGTTCTCAAGGTTAATAAAATAGTTAAACTCATCATAGTTATCTCTGTCCCTTTTGTCCCCGACTACCTCTATCCCTTAAATGTATCTTACTGTCATCAGTAGTGTACTAAAGTGCCCTAACCCAGCTACAATCACTATACAACCTACTCCCGCAGTCCTAAAAAAACATTATTATACACACAATTCCAATTTTTTTGGTTGTTATTGTTTTTCTAGGCAAATTTAGATTCAGTAGTTTGCCATTAATTACTAAATGTTAAGCTCTTGGTACCACTGTCGAAACCAACGCAAGACGTTCTGCTGCCAAATCGTCCGCAGCTGGTATCGAACCCACCACCTCGGCATTACGAAGCGCGTTCACAACGCCTAAGCCACATACGCGGACGTTGGATAACATAACTCCATATTAACCCTGTCACTTCCTATCTGTATCCACAATTGGTAGACTGCTAAAGGCTGTGATCTACCTCGTCGACAGATTTCAGACTGCTGCCATGGATACCCATGACACGGAACACAAACCTCAACTGTACCCAGGAGAGCTATGATGGTTCAGCGGTTCCCACTAGGACTATGATGCTGTGGAGTTTTCCTAAGAACTTTATATAATATGTAACAGTTACCTCCTCCCCCTGCGTCCCCCTCCCGCCCCGAGAGTGGCAACACAGACAATAAAACCGGAGTGTTACTGGAGCCATTGTAAATGGAACTGCGTTTCTTGTTGAAGATGGGGACGGAGTGCTTATGATATCGTTTCTTAACCCATGACTCACAGCAATGACCGGTTAAGTATGCTAATGAAACAGTGTCCGGTAAAACTGTAATGTTGTATTCGAGTCAAGTTAAGGAATGTTCCCAGGATAGTGGCTCAGATAAATATATTTAGTGGAATACTTGTTGTCCGAACAGAAATTGGTGCTGATGTTCAGAAAATTTTGTCCTAACAGTATTAGTTTACATGGATGAGATTGTATATTAATACTCACCGTATTCTCAACGTTGTGTAAGATTTTTTTTTCGGGCTACGAACGCCTCTGGTTACGAACAAATCGGCCTACGAACATTATTTCCGCACAATTGTGACTCGACCCGCGAACATTGCTTTGGCTCGCACAAACAAGGCTTTTGCTCTGTATTTTCGGCTACGCAATGTGAACATAATCATTGTGTTGTTCTTGATAAAAGTGTTACTAACAGGGGTGTAAACTTCCTAAATGTATTACAGCATAAACGAAGAAGGAAATAATAACTAACATGAAAATGGCGTTCGTATTTCTCATCTCGCTAAGGTGTATGTGGTGCTGATGAGGAGGACACAATGAAAATAATGACAGTGTAATAAGTGGTGTGTGTTTCTTCTCGTTGTCTAGGTAGTGTTCATGCGTGTGTGGTGGATGATCTTCTCACACGCTCCACGTTACACAACAGGCACAAGCCGACACCGATGTGAGCTTACGAGACATGAATTTATTGACGTATTTACACTTACAACCAAGAATGTCCTGTCGGTGTCCTAGTGAACAGCTCTCGTACCCAAACTCACGCAGCCTTCAACGAACAGTCTTCTTCAAGCATTCACTGACCAAAGTTGGCTCCCATGGATTCACGTTGAGGTTCTGGTCATCTCACACACTGGCATGGTCGATCTCGGCTTCACACTTCGTCGGCAGGGTCTCATTTTTTCACAATCACTCTCACGTTGACATTCTCACTTTCCGTCGTACGTCCTCTCACTCCAACAGGTCGACACAAACTAAACTTGACCAGAGTCAAGTCTGACTTATACCACGGGTTCGTTTCACGTGACAACACGTGGTGGTCCTTTACTTTTCACGTGGCGACCTAGGGTCGCATCATCGTGGTCCTCGTGATAACCAGTGGTTAGTCACCTATCTCCAGATTCTCGTTTAATCCAAGTATCTGGACTATCTCGGTGTTTTAGGTCAGCTTTGGGCCTTCCCCCCAACCATCCTAATCTGGGTGAAAATATCCCCCATTACAGACAGACATAAGGATGATAATGATAATGATGACGACGGTGATGGTCATGATGACGAAGATAAAATGAGGCTGTGGTGATGGCGGTGATGATGAGGATGGTGAGATGACGATGCGGATGATAATAATGACGACGTCGATAATGTTGATGATAATGATGACTGTGATAATAACCACATTAACGTGGCCAAGAATCCGCCACACCTGACAGTCATCTACCCTGTGCCTACTCTGACCTCGGAGCCTGAAGCCTGGCAAGAAATAAGGCCCTAATTAACCGATGACATTAAACCAGAGACATTCTCCGGACTTCATCTTGTCCGGCAGACCAGACTTCAATCACACATCAGGCCCGCACTGTCTCACTCAGCTGTTTATTGAGAAGGTAGAGCAGTGATTCTCAAGGTGGGTGTTTCAGGGCAGCATCAAGCAATGTTAACATCGAGTACATTTGTAATTCTATATTATAATAATATTTTTAAATAAAATAATTTTTATCTATCCTCCAAATAACGGTCCTAAATTATCGAGGCCGAAAATATACCCTAACAGGGCCTCAGTCACATGTAAATTGCGGACTTCCAGCGACTACCACCACCGCAGACGGTTTCTCAACGCCGCTACGCAGGTGCCTTGCCGACTGGCGTGGGCGACCATGCCTCTCCATAATCTGCGATCTCCTGCAGCATGTATCAGTTCATGTGCCGACACTTCTCCATGCCATGCAACAAGACTGTCAAGCATCTTCTCTCGTTGTCTTCCTATATCCCTTCTTCCACAGTTCTTTCCAGTGGTCACAACATGTTCTATTTTCCCTCTTCTCATAACATGGCCGAAAAATGATGACTGTCTCCTTCTGATGTCTGTGATAAGTTGTCTTCGGGCTCTCGCTTCTTTAAAAACCTCTTGGTTGTTCTTTTTGTCTGTCCGAGGTATTCTAAGCATTCTTCTGTAAAACCACATCTCTGAGGCCTCAAGAAATTGTTTGGCCTGCCTAATGATTGTCCAGGATTCACAGCCATATGTTAAAACTGGATGTATGTAGCAAGCAAGAATTCTTTTTCTAACTCTCAATGACAAGGATATATTTCATAAGACTATTTGTTCACCGTTACAGTTAATGATGATACAGAATTTATCTTCGAATTTTGATCTCTAGATTCTATGTATAACCATTACGTTATTTCATGTCTTTCCCCAGACGGAAGTCGGTTCCAGAGCGACGTTTCGGTACGAAGATGTTCAACAGTAGTCTGCCAGCTGGTGGTAGTATCAGTTCGGCATACGTCGGCCCAAAGTCGTACGCCGAATTCCCGGGAGTGGAGAAGATTATCCTTAGTGTGATACTGAGTATCTTCTGCGTTGTTGGTACTATCGGTGAGTGATGGCGTGGTCTCTTCTTGTAGTTGCTGTTGTTGGTGGTGGTGGAGGTAGTAGTGGTTGGCTCAGTGTGACATCCTGGGCACAGGAGCGGAGCAACAGGGGGGTGACCGATTTGCTATAAAGCTGAAACTAAGAATACCAGATTACCGAATTACTATCGCCACCATTACTTCTCTGTACCGTACAGTACCATTATCGCATCCTTTTTAATCAGTGCTTAGTCCGGTATGTAATAGATGCCTTCATGTTTGTCCAGGGAATGCGTTGGCTTTCATTATCTACTACCGCAAGAGAGAGAAGGGAACCTCCACCATCTTCATCCTCAGCCTGGCTGTGACCGACTTCCTCACCTGTCTCATCAACCTGCCTTACAGCATTGCCGCCATCTTGCTCAACTACAGGCTGGAGTATGATATCGTCTGCAGGGTGAGTACATGATGCTGCCGCCCCCCTACCCCCGGGGACACCACGTCGCCCCCTCTCCAACATAACGACATGTCATTAAAAAGAGAAGAACAAAGAAGAACAAGCACCGTTAACAAGAACTTGGAGGAAAAAAACAATTGAATTGTCAAACAACAGAAGTTTCAATTCCCCGTGTGGGTTCCGGGATCCCACTGTGGTGACAACAAGAACAGACCCACTACCTCCCAGATAAGTATGTCGTAAGAGTCGACTTAAATGGGCGTTTCCTTCGAGGTTGGAGTGCATCTGCCTGCGAGTCAAGGAACCAACAATCTGCAAACACATAAGTCAGATATGTAAAACAGATGTGCCTGCAACACTCAGGTTCTGGAACAAGACTAAAGTCCATATTTGGCCGAACCACCAGAAATTTCTGCTGGAATTGACAGCCTGTGAACGCGAAGAAGAAGAAGTAAAGAAACAATTACCAGCAACTGGTCATTTATTGTCCAGATATCAGCGTGATCGTTGACAATGGTTTGTCTTGATGATATCTGCTTATGTTGGGTGTCATGTTGGGCAGAGCACAAGAAAGATTACTTTCTGTTAAAGCTGAAATTCCGGATCATTTCAAGTACATATGTACTCAGTTTTAAAACTGCTTGATTCCCCCCCCCCCCCTTTCCCCCCCCCCGCCCCCTTTTTTTTCCTTTTTCTTTTTTTTTCAACTTCCTCATACTCCAATTACGGCTTGGGGAAGGCGGACTGTCGAGGTTCGACACCAGCAGAGTAAAAATCATGAACCCTTTTCTACGCCTTCAGATGTATCGGGCATATAGGGCTAGACCTAAATCGTATAGACCGATCGACATTAGGTGGGCGATATGGTCAGCATCAGACCGGCCGCATTGACTTCCAAGGATTTTACCTGGTACCTACTTAAGGCTGCATCGACCTTGGAACTAAGGTCATTTTTCAAAGAAGAAATAAAAACCTGATGCCGTCTGGATTCGAACCCACGACCCTCTGACCCAAAATCGAGTGCCACTGGCCAATAGACTAGAGTATATTTAAATATGCATGACTGGTACGAGATGCCTGTGTAGGAACATATCCTGATTGGGATGTCTTTATAAAAGTTGTTATTGTTTAGTTACACTCAGCCACGCTAAATTAGAACTGTTTCAGTGACAAGGATATCATCATCATCAAGTGTCTTGCCAGCTGGCTTGTGCGTTCATGCGTCGCCACAAAAATCGGTCTTTGTTGTTCTGGAACAATTCTGCTGATGATATTCTTCCATGCCACTGTCTTAAGCCATCCACCATCATTTCTCTTGGTCTGCCTCTGCCTCTTCTACCAGAGATCTTTCCAGTCGTCACAATATTTTCCAGTGCTCTTTTTCTCATCACATGACCAAATAACTTTGTCTTTTTCTCATTGTTGTATATAATGTTCTACTTTCATTAGCTATTTCCCGGCATTCAATGTTGTTTATTCTGGCAGTCCAAGGTATTCTCAACATTCTTCTCAAAAACTACATCTCAGCCGCTTCCAATCTCTTTTTTGGGGTGGGGGGGGGGGGGGGTCAAATTCCAACATTCACTACTATACAAGGATATGCTTTACTAATTCTGGAGGGGGAAAAAAGTACCTCTTGTTGAAAAAAACTTAACTATTTCATAAAGAAAAAAATTATTATTTCTTTTTTTTTTTAATGTATACTGCTTAAAGAAGAAATGTACCACTTCATTTTTAAAAATTTACTATTTCATAAAAAAATATGTACTACTTATGACAAAATGTACTGCTTCGTGAAAAACGTGTGAAGCCAAAAAAGAAATAGAATTAGTCAGCATAGTACTTCCATAATCGCGAACTACAAAATAAACTTTGAGGATATAAAGCTTTCCTTAGCATACCACAGAAACCGAAAAAAATTTTACTGCACCAGGTTTTATCGCGTATGGTTTGGCCTTTCTCGGTTTGCATAGAGTTCCCGTAAGGAACAAACTCCCTAACCCCAGTGACGATCCACGTAAATATCCATGAAATGTGTATTCTGAATCGAGAGATCATTGTTCGAATCCTCGTCGAGGTTGGGGATTATTTTTTCTCTGTCCAGGGCAAAATTAAAATTCTAACGTGCACAGTCTGTGGCGACAGCACTGGCAGTGTGGCCCTAAATTACCTGGCTCAGGCACCTTCTGCGTACACCAGAGCCGAGCGAGGAGCTCATGGAACAAACTCACAACTTTCAGAGCGCGAGGCAAATAGCTTGACCACTTCGTTCAATAGGCAAACAGACACAGCCATACATACAGTTAGACAGACACACAGATACAGGCAGGCATCTAAACAGACGCATAGATGGATTGTAAGGAGGACAGCTGTGGAGCGGGGTGTCGTCGAGCAGACGAACAGACAGACATAAAGGCAGACAGGTTAGCAGGGGGAATAGGCGAACAGATGAACAGACAGACATAAAGGCAAACAGATAGACAGATTAGCTGGGGAAGGGGTTGGCGAGCAGACTAACAGACAGACATAAAGGCAGACAGGTTAGCAGGGGGAATAGGCGAACAGATGAACAGACAGACATAAAGGCAAACAGATGGACAGATTAGCTGGGGAAGGGGTTGGCGAGCAGACTAACAGACAGACATAAAGGCAGACAGCTAAACAAATCGGAGAGGGGTGGGAATGGGCGAACAGGCAGATATAAAGGCTGACAGATAGATAGATTAGCAGAGGAAGTGGCCGAACAGACAACAGGCAGACAGACAGACGGACAGACTAGCGGAGGAGTGAGCAAGCAGACCAACAGGCAGATGAATAGACACAAAGGCAGCTAGAGGGACAAGCAAATGTCTGTATGTGTCTCTATATATTCCATCATAAAGATGTTTAGGAAAACACCCCAGTAACTGGCTGCCAACATCATTCATCGTTGAAGTAACCGTATTCAGTTCCCCATGCGTCTTGTGTAAATTGAATGTCCGACTGTATCAATATAATTTACAGTCGCTCCGCCATTCATCAGCCTAGGATTGTAAAATGTTTTAGTCGATGGCGTAATATTTGGTTGGTTTCCGCGTCTGATACCGTTCAAAGTATGTGGCAATGAAGAAAGGAATTTTACCGGCTCATATTGATACAAGAGTTGTTGAATTCCTTTTGGAGAATGTTAGTGAAGTTTTACAGACTGCTCAGTCGACAAGATTAGAAGATGTCGGAGGAGAATTGGTCGTTATATCATTCTAAGAGTTCTTGTCTGCTGGCTCACTTGGAGCTGCAGGATCCATTGTTTGGCTGTATATCTGTTTGTCTAGGATGTCATCAATTTTGCCGTGTTCCCAGACAATTACACAGACTCACTGCTGTTTCAGATTTTTAGTCTGTTGAAGAGAATGTTAGTACTCTTCTGTCTGCGTTTCCCACTTTCTTTGTCTCTTTCTTTCTTTCATTCTTAACATTCTTTTCTTTTTTTTTTTTTTCTTTTCATTCTCATATTTTTATGATATTTCTGTTCTTTCTTCCTTGTTCATTTATTTATGAGTATTTTTTTTTTTTTGTTCACGTTTAGCTCCTTTCCGTTTCATTCTATTCATTATTCTTCATTCTGATGGTCAGTTATCTTCTTCCTCCTTTTCTACCTCCATATTTTTACTTTTCATCCTCGCAAGACTTAACATTCTCATAATTTGTCATTATTATTATTACTAGTATTATCACTATTATCCAATCCTCTAAACCCATCATCATTTACGTCCGTGTGTGGATTTCGGGGGCCAGCCTTAGAGAAAATCAGAAAAGACTCACAGCTCCCCTACCAAGCATGTAGTAAAGGGCGACTAGTTGCGGTTGTTCCTCTCAACGTTTGAATACATCTACCTGAGAGGCAAGAAACTAACGGTCCACCTACAAATAAGCCAGATTTGTAAAACGTATGTGCACGCAAAACCTAAGTGCTGTAACATGTTCCGTGCAGGAAAACATCGTGCAAGCATCGCTTCAGTGGTCCCCGGTAGTTAGCTTTCTTTGGATATTTGTTTCTGATGCTACGAGAGCTTTGGGAAATGAACAGCCAGACATATTGGTTGGTTTGCCCCCATTGAATAAGGAATTTGCAGTTAGTTGAACAATGCGGGGAGGGGGAGCACGGTTCATGATTTACAGAGAATTCAACAGCGGGGAGTGGCAAAGTGATTAAGTCGACACTCTACACTCAGGGAAAAGGAAACACATATCTAATCAAACCTTTATTGACATCATCGGAGCTAGAACTTTTCGCTGGCTGCTGAAGAAAAGGACGGGGCACGTATGGGAATGTCCCGATTTCTGTGACGTCAGTTGCTAGCTCAACACTGAGGACTTAACGACTATAATGATGATAGTGTTTGTGGCTGTGGATCGACGTGAGAACAAACAAGATGGTGATGCTTTTTGTGATGACTATGAAATGGATTGTATAATAGAATCACTAATGTAAAGCTTTGGAAGATAGCTAAACAAGTTGCAGTGGACCAAGAGGTGAAGAAAAGACGTTGGCTTTGGATAGGGCACGCGCTGAGAGAAGCTGAAAACAAAGTAACTAGAATGTCTTTACACTGGAACCCACAAGAGCATATAATTAAAGGAAAACCAAAAAACAAACGGAGAAAGGAGCTAGACCGTAAAGTGAAAAGGATGGGAAGGACATGGAAAGAGTTGCATGAGATAGCGAAGGATAGAACCACTTAGCACCAGTTGGTTGAGGGCCTATGCTCCATTGAGGGATAGAAAGACAGAAGAAGAAGAAGTACAATCCTAACTCTGTCGACTAAACCGAAATTAACACACACACACGCAAACATACCAGTGGTACCACCAACCCATCGCCATTATCACAACAACCAGTTCCATCCGCCTTCGACTGCGCTAACGCGGCCCCAAACCTTTATCTTTTATTTGCATTTTTTTTTTTAGGACATGGCAAACTAACCCAACATTTATCGGCTTTATTGTGTTACTATGACTTTTCTGCTTAATAGTTTTACTATTGTCCACAACGATACCGCGCTCATAAGTTTTGTCAACATCATCGCAAAAAGGTCTAATATAAAATTGCCTGTTTTTGACTTCGAACACCTTAGTGTGTCAGAACTGTGGAATCGGGTTCACAACCTCTAAGTCATAGCGATGGATTGTCCACCAATACATGTTTTCTCAACTCGCTACCTTATCTTTACACAAAGCACAAAGACTGATCCCCCTTCAAAACTCCACAAAAACCTTCTTCTCCAATTTCACAGAAGAGAAAATGACATGCAAAAAAGAACTGGTCTGATAATCACATAAGTGGCTTACTTCAATCCCATCACTCTTTGGTCTTCTTTGACAACACAATAGCTCCGTTTCCCCTGACGTCTTGGGCCTCATATTTGAGATGACCTTCGACAAACCGACAAATTGACACAAATGAACTTTCTCAGTCAATAGAGCCCACGATTTGATTTTTGACCGGCGGGAAATTAATCAACTTTTGTGACGGGAATATGGCAGTACAAGGACGCGTCTCTTGGTGGCTTATGGACTTTTCTGCGGTCGCGTAAAAGATTAACACTTCTGACTGGTCAGTTGATGTTATTTATCTGATACTTTTTCTGTCACTTTCGTTTACTGGAAGTATTTTCTTCTTACATTTTTTTTTTGGGGAGAAGGGGTGGGGGGTGGGGGTGGGGGAAGCGGGTTTCCTCTGCCCACTTTATGTTTTACTTTTCTGTTTTAATTTATTTTCAGCATCTCTTTCTTTTTTTTTTTTTTTTTTCTTCTTCTTCTTCTTCTTCTTCTTCTTCTTCTTCTTCTTCTTCTTCTTCTTCTTCTTCTTCTTCTTCTTCTTCTTCTTCTGTTCCTTCTTCTTTTTTCTTTCTTTTTTTTTTCTTTTTTTTTTTTCTTTCTTTCTTTTTCCTTTTCTTTTTATGAAGGTTCAGGATCTCACTCATAGTTTTTGTCTTTTTCTTTTTTGGTCATTATCAAATTCTTACTTTTTTATTGCTTTTATCTCTGATCAGTACTACATCATATTTTTCTTTACTGTTTTATCTGGCCAGCTCTTTAGCATGCTTTGCCGGGTATGTGTTTCGGTTTCTGTCCGTCCGTATTTCGGTATTTAAATATCAAAAGTATATATCGAAATGAGCTGACTCCCTACTTCTTTTTTCAGTATCTACTTTGGTTAGCAGTTTCACACAGGATAGGTTGCCGAGTTCGGGTGCGCTACGTTACTTGGTATGTTGTGATATAGAGAATTATTTTTAAAATCAAAAACAGTATAAATAAACTACAAACATTCACAAGCTGGTCTCCTTTGCACTTCTAGCCCCATCTGCTCCCGGGTTAAAAGTATACAGAGGGGTTTCACTCTCTTTCAAGTTCATCGGCGACTGGGTCGCCTATTGGCTCGCCGGTATTTGGGTCTGTCTCATCTGATCGCATCAACACTCCAGGAGTCCTTGTTAGGGTACTTGGTGCCCCTGATCGCATCAACACTGCTGGAGTCCTTGTTAGGGTACTTGGTGCCCCTGATCGCATCAACACTGCACTAATCCTTGTTAGAGTTCTTGGTGCCTCTGATCACATCAACACTGCTGGAGTCCTTGTTAGGGTACCTGGTGCCCCTGATCACATCAACACTGCAGGAGTCCTTGTTAGAGTTATTGGTGCCTCTGATCACATCAACACTGCACTAATCATTGTTAGGGTACTTGGTGCCCCTGATCGTATCAACACTGCACTATTCCTTGTTAGAGTACTTGGTGCCCCTGATCACATCAACACTGCACTAATCATTGTTAGGGTACTTGGTGCCCCTGATCACATCAACACTGCAGGAGTCCTTGTTAGAGTACTTGGTGCCCCTGATCACATCAACACTCCAGGAGTCCTTGTCAGGGTACTTTATGCCCCTGATCACATCAACACTGCACTAATCCTTGTTAGAGTACTTGGTGCCCCTGATCACATCAACACTGCTGGAGTCCTTGTTAGAGTTATTGGTGCCCCTGATCACATCAACACTGCACTAATCCTTGTTAGAGTACTTGGTGCCCCTGATCACATCAACACTGCTGGAGTCCTTGTTAGGGTACTTGGTGCACCTGATCACATCAACACTGCACTAGTCCTTGTTAGAGTACTTGGTGTCCCTGATCACATCAACACTGCACTAATCCTTGTTAGAGTTCTTGGTGCCCCTGATCACATCAACACTGCACTAGTCCTTGTTAGAGTACTTGGTGCCTCTGATCACATCAACACTGCACGAATCCTTGTTAGAGTACTTGGTGCCTCTGATAACATCAACACTGCGCTAATCCTTGTTAGAGTTCTTGGTGCCCCTGATCGCATCAACACTGCACGAGTCCTTGTTAGAGTACTTTGTGCCCCTGATCACATCAACACTGCACTAATCCTTGTTAGAGTTATTGGTGCCCCTGATCGCATCAACACTGCACGAGTCCTTGTTAGAGTTCTTGGTGCCCCTGATCACATAAACACTGCACTAATCCTTGTTAGAGTTCTTGGTGCCCCTGATCACATCAACACTGCACGAGTCATTGTTAGAGTACTTGGTGCCCCTGATCACATCAACACTGCACTAATCCTTGTTAGAGTTCTTGGTGCCCCTGATCACATCAACACTGCACTAATCCTTGTTAGTGTACTTGGTGCCCCTGATCACATCAACACTGCACTAATCCTTGTTAGTGTACTTGGTGCCCCTGATCACATCAACACTGCACTAGTCCTTGTTAGAGTACTTTGTGCCCCTGATCACATCAACACTGCACTAATCCTTGTTAGAGTTCTTGGTGCCCCTGATCGTATCAACACTGCACTAGTCCTTGTTAGAGTTCTTGGTGCCCCTGATCGCATCAACACTGCTGGAGTCCTTGTTAGAGTTCTTGGTGCCCCTGATCGCATCAACACTGCTGGAGTCCTTGTTAGAGTTCTTGGTGCCCCTGATCGCATCAACACTGCTGGAGTCCTTGTTAGAGTACTTGGTGCCCCTGATCGCATCAACACTGCTGGGGTCCTTGTTAGGGTACTTGGTGCCCCTGATCACATCAACACTGCACTAATCCTTGTTAGAGTTCTTGGTGCCCCTGATCACATCAACACTGCACTAATCCTTGTTAGTGTACTTGGTGCCCCTGATCACATCAACACTGCTGGAGTCCTTGTTAGAGTACTTGGTGCCCCTGATCGCATCAACACTGCTGGAGTCCTTGTTAGAGTACTTGGTGCCCCTGATCGCATCAACACTGCTGGAGTCCTTGTTAAAGTACTTGGTGCCCCTGATCACATCAACACTGCTGGAGTCCTTGTTAAAGTACTTGGTGCCCCTGATCACATCAACACTGCTGGAATCCTTGTTAAAGTACGTGGTGCCCCTGATCACATCAACACTGCTGGAGTCCTTGTTAGGGTACTTGGTGCCCCTGATCACATCAACACTGCACGAATCCTTGCCAGGTCTCTTGGTTGTGTGCTGTACGAAGCCGTCTTAGAAGACACACATAACCTAGTCATAGTTATAACCTATAGCTCCCCCTTTGGGGATGCTGACTGAGAGTGACCAATCTTATTTCCCCCCCCCCCCCACCCCACCAACCCCCTGCCCCACCCCCACCCCCGAGCAAACCATCTACTTACCTTTAGGTTCTCATTAATTATAGGGCTTGGGATGTGAGTTCCTTAAACCTTGTATTCACATGGCGGATAAATTGAAGAATAAGACTGAGGAGGAGAAGCTGACAAAGAAGCAAAATTAGCTTGTGTTTGTCTCTGTTTATTTAGTGCAGTTGTAGCTTTTGATGTTATACAATGATAATGTGCTCTCTGATAAGGTTAGATTCGATTGTATTTTCACAGCTGTTCCTGTACATTCAGACGTCGAATGTGCCCCTGTCATCGCTGATCATGGTTGCTATTGGCATCGACCGCTACCTGTGTATCTGCCACCCGTTCCTTCACATCGTCACGGTACGCCGGGCAAAGATTTCCGTCGTTGTCCTCACCATCATCGCCGGTCTCACGGGAATCATTCCAGCCTTATCGCATTCTGTATTCAGGAAAACACAAAATGAGACAGTGTCGTCCAACTCGTCCAATGAAACATTCGAATATTTCTCTAGCAACGGGTCGGAAGCCACGAGTCCCGTCTTCATGTCGCAGCTGTTAACTAATGGCCTGCTTCTGGAGCCCGCTGCCGAGTTTGTCAGCGACATTCTCAAACATGGTGCCCCGGTCAACCCCCAGACTGACAATATAGATGTTCTGTCGACAACACCATCATTGCCCACATCGTCGATATATCCTAGCACGACGACACCTGTTATAGATTCAACTACAACAGAAAACGCCAGCGACATATTCCCAGACGAATACTACATCGGTATGTGCGTAGAAAATGAGGATACGATCAGTGAAAATATTTCTAAAACTTTCCAGATTACATATGCCGTTTCTTTTCTCTTTGAACTTCTCATCTTAGCGCTCCTGTATGCTTTGATATACAGATCTATTTTGGCCCGAAGAGCTTGGAAGATCAAGCGGAAACGGATGAGTTGCTATGCCAGCACGAACTGCCCAGAAACCATCGCGGAGGAGACCCAACTCACAAACATTAACGGGGGGAATGGCGAAACGATTGTTCTCAAGAAGAACCCGGGTCGATTCTCGTCAGCCATGCGGGATAGGACTTTGCACGCCAACATTAAAACTGCTGCTATGCTTTTCGTGGTGACGATTGGATTCGTGGTCTCTTTTGTCCCCTCCTGGCTGATGGGATTGCGGATTGTACCTATTCAACTGAGTGTATTCTACATGTTTTATATAAACAACGTCATCAACCCTTTTATTTATGCCTTCATGAACCGCACTTTCAGAGAGGATCTGTTTCAGCTTGTGAAAAGTATGTTTCGACATTAGGTTAAAGTTTGAATCTGACTTCTTGAATGTCTTGATTGCCAAAATATTTATACACGGAGCAAAGTGCTGTTCACTGAAGCAAACACATTCATGCCAAGTAAAACTGGAGGCTTCTCGAGAATGTGATATCATAGTAAATGATAACTATATATTTAGTGTCATTGTAGTTTGTTTATGATATCATGGTAGACAGTAAGGGTATCCTTTCATTGTTACCCCTGTGAGACTTGGTTCTGCACCACTAGATGGTAAATCGATGCCTGACAAGCTAAAGGTTATTAAGTCCCTTTAGGGATGAGCCTTCTATTCATTCTACCTGTAGGTAGCTAGGTAGTTGTACCCTACCAGCACATCATACAAGCGATAAACACACGGGGACCAAAGTGCCACCGTGAGGATGAGGATCACCCGTGGAGAGGTCCCAGAAACCCCTTTCATCGGTAAGGCCAGAGGACGACCATTGAGAACCGTATTCTCAAAATTCTAGCTGTAGTTGTTTTTAGATGAAAATATCACAGGTCTCTATGGTGTTTGTGGTGCCACGAATGTCCACCACTGGTCCATACAGCCTGGTTTCTACACTGACCAGCCGTGGAACTTTTCTGCTGCAAAACCAGCCGTGGGACTTTTCTGCTGCATAACCAGCCGTGGGACTTCTCTGCTGCATGAAGACTGTATGACTAAAGAACATGTTCAGTGTGCAGGGGAACCATGCGGGGGCACACATAGATCGCCACTTTCCCGAGAGAGTGTTACACCAGGCAGTGACTAGTGGATCTGGTCGACACTCAACACTCAGAGAAAAACACCATTAGTTTGCCATTGCTTCTGGACGGTCGGCTTTCTTGATACGACTGTCGAAACCAACGCAAGGTACATGGCCCGCAGCTGGGATCAAACCTGGCATCCCGGCATTACGAAGCGTTCGCATCGACTTAGCCACAGAGCCGACGAACCAACAGTATGCATACAAATAAGCTACATTTGTACAACTGGTGTGCACACACCACTCAAGCTCTGGATCAAACTAAAGTTCAGAAGTGGAGTTGGATATCTTTAGAAATTCATGATTCGCAACTTAATGCACTTCGAGAATATCAGGCGTCACGATGATTTGGAAAATAGAAAAAACAAATTTAAGGTCACATTTTCGGAAGAAGGAACTTCCCTCTGTCGGGTCCTACGGGAGGGGGGGGGGGGTGAAATTTTCTTTTTAGAAAAGGACATTGACCTGATCCATTATTTAGATGATCGTGGGAGATGGCGAATCATAAAAGCCTAATTTAATTTAGATGGCACATGGTGAGGATAATGGTGTTTTGTTTTTTTAGTCTACCTCAGCTTGACGTGTCCCTTCTCCTTAAGTAGATGCCTTGTATGGCGTGGCATAGAGGGACATTATTTCCGTGGGTTCACTGTCATAAGAAGTTGAGACGTGTAGCTATGATGTTCACTGTCATGAAAATTTGGGACCTGAAGCTATGATGTTCACTGTCATAAGAAGTTGAGACCTGTAGCTATGATGTTCCCTGTCATAAGAAGTTTGGACCTAAAGCTATAATGTTCACTGTCATGAGAAGTTGAGACCTGTAGCTATGATGTTCACTGTCATAAGAAGTTGGGACCTAAAGCTATAATGTTCACTGTCATAAGAAGTTGAGACCTGAAGTTATGATGTTCACTGTCATAAGAAGTTGGGACCTGAAGCTATAATGTTCGCTGTCATAAGAAGTTGGGACCTAAAGCTATAATGTTCACTGTCATAAGAAGTTGAGACCTGAAGCTATGATGTTCACTGTCATAAGAAGTTGGGACCTGAAGCTATAATGTTCACTGTCATAAGAAGTTGAAACCTGGAGCTATAATGTTCACTGTCATAAGAAGTTGGGACCTGAAGCTATAATGTTCACTGTCATAAGAGGTTGAGACCTAAAGCTATGATGTTCACTGTCATAAGAAGTTGAGACCTGAAGCTATGATGTTCACTGTCATAAAAAGTTGAGACCTGAAGCTATGATGTTGACTGTCATAAGAAGTTGAGACCTGAAGCTATAATGTTCACTGTCATAAGAAGTTGAGACCTGAAGCTATGATGTTCACTGTCATAAGAAGTTGGGACCTGAAGCTATAATGTTCACTGTCATGAGAAGTTGGGACCTGAAGCTATAATGTTCACTGTCATAAGAAGTTGAGACCTGAAGCTATGATGTTCACTGTCATAAGAAGTTGAGACCTGAAGCTATGATGTTCACTGTCATAAGAAGTTGAGACCTGGAGCTATGATATTCACAGTCATGAGAAGTTGAGACCTGAAGCTATAATGTTCACTGTCATAAGAAGTTGAGACCTGGGGCTATGATGCGCACTGTCATAAGAAGTTGAGACGTGTAGCTATGATGCTCACTGTCATAAGAAGTTGAGACCTGGGGCTATGATGTTCCCTGTCATAAGAAGTTGGGACCTAAAGCTATAATGTTCACTGTCATGAGAAGTTGAGACCTGAATCTATGATGTTCACTGTCATAAGAAGTTGGAACCTGAAGCTATGATATTCACTGTCATGAGAAGTTGAGACATGAAGCTATGATGTTCTCTGTCATGAGAAGTTGAGACCTGAAGCTATGAAATCCCAGGTTTTCAGAGTGCGAGCTATACATTAACAATCCTGCTGCATGGAAGTGAATTATGAGAATCTTGGACTGCCAGTTTATTATTGAGAAAAATAATGGAAGCTGTCGTGGAGTGGTTTTACAGAAGTAGAGGGGGGGGGGGGGTGGCAGAATGCGATGGATAAAATAATCTTATTCAAATGTGCATGTGCTTGTGTGTTGGGAAATGAACAGGTAGATACTGGCTGGTTTTGCACAGTTTTGCTGATAAACTGATGACAAGATATATTTGGTAAGAGCTCTTTGTGAGAGACAGCAGTGCGGAAGCACAAACAGATCCTTACGACCTGAAGAAAATTGTGCAGCCAAGAATGACCAGGCGATCTGGCCGACGCTCAACATTCAGGGGCAGGGCGAGAAGGATATACAATCATACTTGTTTTTGGTGCCGTTGGGTTACTGGAACTCTTCTCTTGCTGCTGAAGATGGGGATGGAGCGCATATGGGAACGCCTGAGTGATAGTATGTGGGTTTTAACTGAAAACTTATTCAAATGGGTTGAAAGAATTTGCCAAAGAAATGTTAGTTCGCCTCATTTAAAAAATAAAAAAAAAACAATGTATTTCCTTTCGAGCACTCATTAAAAAGGAAAACATGGGCTGATAATATGAACACTGGTGGAAAAGCGACAAATTGTTGCATAAATTCTGGCGTGTACGTATACAACAAAATATTGATACACATATTGTTGATATGACTGATTGTGCTTATGTGGGCAGATATATCCATGCATATATATGTGGATATACATACATGTTACGCGAAGAATAATGTGACTACAAGAATCTGTTGACGCTACGGGTGCATTAGGCATATGGTGTTCATCCGATCTGTAGACCAAAAAGTAGCTGCCGGATGTTAGGATTGTTTTACCTGTTGAATTTGAACATTTCATTTTAATAAAAGCAGACTGGGGTCTGAAACGTTCTGTTTGCTGGGGGAATTTTTGATCATATGAAGCTTCCGTGTGATCATGTTTTAGTTGTTTTATCTTCTTCTTCTTCTTCTTCTTTTTCTTTTTCTTCTTCTTCTTCTTCTTCTTCTTCATCTTCTTCTTCTTCTTCTTCTTCTTCTTCTTCTTTCTTTCTTTCTTTCTTTCCTTCTTTCTTCTTTTTCTTTCTTCTCTTTCTTTCTTTCTTTCTTTCTTTTTTTCTTTCTTCTTTTCTTTCTTTCTTTTCTTTCTTTCTTCTCTTTTCTTTCTTTATTTCTTTCTTTCTTTCTTTCTTTCTTTTTTCTTTCTTTTCTTTTTTTCTTTCTTATCTTCAGGGAGGCCCTTTTTCTTTCTTTTCTTTCTTTCTTTCTTTCTTTTCTTTCTTTCTTTCTTCTTTATTTAGTTTCTTTCTTTCTTTCTTCTTCTTTCTTTCACTTTCTTTCTTTCCTTTATTCATTATCTTCTTCTTCTTCTTCTTCTTCTTATTTCATTTTTTTTTTTTTCTTCTTCTTCTTCTTCTTCTTCTTCTTCTGTTCTTTTCTTCTTCTTCTTCTTCTTCTTCTTCTTTCTTCTTTTTCTTCTTTCTTCTTCTTCTTTCTTTTCTTTTATTTCTTTTCTTCTTTCTTTTCTTTCTTTCCTTTCTTCTTTCTTCTTTTCTTCCTTCTTATTCTTCTTTTTCTTCTTCTTTCTTCTTCTTCTTCTTCTTCTTCTTTCTTCTTCTTTTATCCTTCTTCTTCTTCTTCTTTCTTTCTTTTCTTACTTTCTTTCTTCTATTCTTCTTCTTTTCTCTTTTCTTATGTCTTTCTTTCTTTCCTTTCTTTCTTTCTTTCTTTCTTCTTTTCTTCTTTCTTTCTTTATCTTTCTTTCTTTCTTTCTTTTTCTTTATCTTTCTTTCTTCTTTTCTTTCTTTCTTTCTTCTTTCTTTCTTTCTTTCTTTCTTTCTTTTCCGTTCTTTCTTTCTTTCTTTCTTTCTTCTTCTTCTGCTTCTTTTTCTTTCTTTCTTTCTTTCTTTATTCATTATCTTCTTCTTCTTCTTCTTCTTCTTCTTTCATTATTTCTTTCTTATTCTTCTTCTGCTTCTTTCTTTCTTCTTCTTCTTCTTCTTCTTTCTTCCTTCTTCTTCTTCTTCTTCCTTCTTCTTCTTTCTTCTTTCTTTCTTTTCTTTCTTTCTTTCTTTCCTTCTTTTCTTCTTCTTCTTTCCTTCTCTTTCTTTCTAGGCTTTCTTTGGATTTCTTTAGGTTCTTTCTTTCATATCTCTTTCTTTCTTTTTAGGTTCTTTCTTTCTGGAGCTTTCTAGTTCTTTCTTTCTTTCCATTCTTTCTTTCTTTCCTTTTTTCTTTTTTCTTTCTCGTATTTCTTTTCTTTCTATTTTTTCTTTCTTTCTTTCTTTCTTTCCTTTC